TTCAGTTTCAGTTCAGTTATATATGCTTAGTTCATGATATTGTTATTATTTACGATGTTTACATTAGTATGAGTTTCTGCTGAGCACAAGTGTTTTAGTGCTCACACCCCACGTTTTTCATGTTTTTCAGGGCGCAGGGTCGGGGACGAGGAGTGAGCGGGCGTGCTGTTCAGGACTTTTGTGATTATATGTATATATGTTTTGCCACATTTGACTTCCGCTAAAACTTTCAGTACTTTTTATCAGTTTTTGTTCCGACGTTAGTCGGATAAGACATTAAACCATTTTAATTATCAGTTTAAAATTGTAACGGTTTTCAGAAAAAGCAAGTTTTTCACGGTAGCATCCCGAATCATTTTTCGCAAAAATTAATGTTTTATGTTTATTCAGAAAATTTGCGAAAATAGCATACTCTGATAAGTTAAAAAGTCGGGGTGTTACAATTGGTATCAGAGCACGTTTCTGCGTCTCTGAAAAGTTTATCAGTCAGAAATTTTCAGAAAAACCTGAACCGTCACGCTCACGCCTCGCCGACTCCAGGTAAGTGCTGATTCAGTTTTTCAGTTATAAACATATTACTTTGTCTATGCTCAGAAATCAGTAATCAGACTTACTTAAGATGCTCGATTCAGATTTAGACTTTAGAGTTCAGATATAACTCTAGAATTCAGTAGATTCAGACCTGACTTTAGAAATCAGTACACTCAGATATGACTCTAGACTTTAGTATCTTTTGATATGACTCTAGAGTTCCTCAGGTTTCACGTCAGTAATTATCGGCCATTTTTGGCTACTCGTCAAGAGATTTGTGTGCTTCAGTAATCAGTCAGAATATTATCACGTGTTCAATAATTTTGAACTTTCTCAATGTTCAGATGCGCCACGTAGGGAACCCGATCATCCAGCTCCTACTCAGGCTACAGTGGTCGCGCAGTTCCGCGACTATCATGCCGAGAAGTTCTCAGGGCAGGGAGATCCTCGCATAGTTGACGAGTGGATTCAGGGCTTGGAGTTTATCTTTGAGGTCATGGAGTGCCCTGAGAGATATCGCGTTATTTGCGCTCAGCTTCAGCTCACCGGTGATGCCAGGCTCTGGTGGAACGCTTACTGGAGCATGCGTCCCGGCGAAAAGGCGGGTTGTACGTGGGAGATGTTCAAGGAGTTAATCCGCAAGAAGTACTACCCCACATACTACCGAGCCGAGATGGAGCGTCAGTTTCTATCGCTCCAGCAGGGTACTCGTACTGTTGATGAGTACGAGAAGGAATTCACGAGACTTGCAGCTTTTGTTCCTGATTTGGTCCGCACGGAGGCCCAGCGAGCGCAGCGTTTCATTGACGGGCTTTACCCAGCAGTCCGTCATAACATCGTAGGCCACGGGACACAGACGTACGCACGTGCAGTCTCCATTGCCCAGGAGGTGGACGCCAGCATTAGGAGGGAGGCCGTTCGTGATCAGTTCCAGCCATCCGCCCCTGCTCAGTCATCTTCAGTTCCACCGTTGCCATCTCTACCATCTACCCAGCCACCAAAGAACAACAAGAGGAAGGGGAAAGGTGCCCCGGCAGATAAGAGGACCCGACGTAGGCTACAGCAGATCCCCCAGTGCCCGACATATGGACGACTTCACTGAGGCGAGTGTCGCTTTGGTCAGGATGTGTGCTACTATTGTCACGAGCCCGGACACTTCGCGAACCGTTGTCCGAAGAAGGCGCAGCAGCCTCAGCAGCCACCGCAGCAGCAGCAGCCCCGTCAGCAGGCACAGAGGTAGCCTCAGCAGCAGCAGCAGAGGGGCAGACAGTAGGCCCGAGTTTACGCCGTCGATCAGGCTGAGGCCGAGCAGCAGCTAGGTACCATGTCCGGAATGATTATTCTTAATAATGTTCCTGTGTTTGCTTTATTCGATACTGGAGCGACACATACTTTCATTTCTCGACGATGTCTTGACGCCATCGGAGTTCGCGCTACTACCGCTATCGATCCTCTCGAGGTGAGTTTGGCCTCGGTACGAAAGATAGTGACTTCAGCTAAAGCTTCAGATCTTAGCCTTTCCATCGGTGGCCGAGTTTTGTCTACCGACGCTTTGTTCTTGAGATGAGAGACTTTTATCTTATTCTCAGAATGGATTGGCTATCTTTTTATTATGCGGATATCAGATGCCACGACCGGGAGATTACGCTTTATCTTCCGGGAGACGAGTCGATTACTTTCTTCGGCTCCAAAAATCGTTCCTTGCCTCATGTTGTTTCGATGGCGAAAGCCACTAAGTTGCTACGACGAGGCAACTGCCAGGGTTATCTGGTGAGCCTTGTCGACGATTCTCAGAAAGCACGTTCACCTCACGATGTTCCAGTCGTTCGAGAGTTTGTAGACGTATTCCCAGACGAGCTTCCAGGAGGACCGCCTAACCGGCAGGTGGAGTTTTCTATTGATCTCATTCCAGGAGCCGGTCCAGTGTACAAAGCCCCATACCGTATGGCGCCTAAGGAGTTGCAGGAGCTTAAGGCGCAGATTCAAGAGCTGTTACGACTCGGTTTCATTCGACCGAGCGTGTCACCTTGGGGAGCACCCGTTCTCTTTGTTAAGAAGAAGGACGGATCCATGCGCATGTGTATCGACTACCGGGATCTTGACCGGTTGACGATCAAGAACAAGTACCCGCTTCACAAGATTGACGACTTATTTGATCAGTTGAGGGGAGCCTGTGTGTTCTCAAAGATTGATTTACGATCAGACTACCACCAGCTGAAGATTAAGGAGTCAGATATCGCTAAGACCGCTTTCAGGACTCGTTACGGCCATTACGAGTTCGTTGTCATGCCATTCGGTCTAAGCAATGCGCCAGCAGTTTTCATGGACCTCATGAATCGTATTTTCCATCCTTACCTCGATCAGTTCGTTATTGTCTTTATTGACGATATTCTTATCTACTCGAAGAGCCAGAAGGAGCACGAGGAGCATCTGAGGGTGGTTCTTGAAACCCTCAGACGAGAAAAGTTGTTTGCAAAATTCTCCAAATGCGAGTTCTGGCTCCAGCGAGTATCCTTTCTAGGTCATGTGATTACTCAGGCAGGTATCGAGGTGGATCCTTCCAAGGTTTCAGCTGTTCAGAACTGGTCGACACCGAGGAGTCCATCCGAGGTTCGCAGTTTTCTCGGTCTAGCTGGATACTATCGCAGGTTCATTAAGGGCTTTTCCAAGATCGCCCTCCCTTTATCCCAGCTGACGAGGAAGTCTATGAAGTTCGAGTGGACTGACCGATGTGAGTCGAGCTTTGAGGAGCTCAAGAGGAGATTAACTTCAGCACCAGTGTTGACTATTCCCGATCCTTCTCGGAGTTTCACCATCTTCAGCGATGCTTCGAGACAGGGCTTGGGATGCGTCCTTATGCAGGATGGCCAGGTCGTTGCGTATGCTTCACGTCAGCTTAAGCCTCATGAGCAGAACTATCCGACGCACGACTTGGAGTTAGCAGCAGTCGTTCATGCTCTCAAGATTTGGCGACACTATCTTTACGGCGTCACTGTGAGATTTTCACAGATCACAAGAGCCTGCAGTATATCTTTACTCAGAAGGAGCTCAACATGAGACAACGCCGTTGGTTAGAGCTCGTCAAGGATTACGACTGCTCGATTCAGTATCATCCGGGAAAGGCGAACGTCGTCGCAGATGCCCTTAGCCGAAAGGTGAGGGGTGACTTGATGTACGTCATCACTCAGCAGAGTTCGTTGATTCAGGAGTTTGCCCGGATGCAGCTTCAAGCAATTTATGCACTTCCCATAGCAGTTTCGGGGAGTACCAGTGCCAGTGTCAGTGCTATGCAGCTTCAGCCGACACTGAGAGAGAGAATCCGGCAAGAGCAGGCTTCTGACGAGTTCGTTCGAGTCATGGAGGCCAAGGTTCGAGTCGGAGGCATCGAGGGTTTTCAGCTAGGTGCCGATGGTGCCCTAGAGTTCAGAGGCAGGATCGTGGTCCCGAAGGTCGAGGCGTTGCGGAAGGAGATTTTATCAGAGGCTCATACCGCACCCTATTTGGCCCATCCCGGGAGCACGAAGATGTATCACGACCTGAAAGGGTCATTCTGGTGGCGAGGTATGAAGAAGGACGTCGCCGAGTTTGTCAAGAGATGTTTTATCTGTCAGCAAGTCAAGGCCGAACATCAGAGTCCGATTGGCCTCCTGCAGCCACTGCCGATTCCGAGGTGGAAGTGGGAGAAAGTCACGATGGATTTCGTTACGGGATTGCCGAGGTCGTCTGAACATCACGACGCTATCTGGGTCGTGGTCGACAGATTGACTAAGGTCACGCATATCTTACCCGTTTCGATGAAGATGTCTCTGGACAAGTTGGCTGAGATATATACCCGTGGGATCATCCGACTCCACGGAGTGCCCGTCACTATTGTATTAGACAGAGATCCCA